ATTATTTCTTATGCAATAATTATTATTAATAAATACTATTGCTTATGCGCAAACGTTTTACATGATATTCCAATTTTGTGCATAATTTAAATTCACAACTTATGATGGAAACACGGCTAGTATGAACTCGGTCTCATAAAATGATCTGAGCTGCTCCACATTCACTTATAGCTCTAGACTCTTACTGGATGGTGACTAATGACTCATTTATTTCTTTTAATAGGTAAATGAAAAACCAGTGTTATTTTTAGCATCATTGAGATACTATTATAGTGGATCAAATTTCTGAAAATGTGCATGAAAATATTTCACAAATTTCCTGATGTCCATATGAAAAGTCGTACCTACAACCACCCGTGTGGAGAGCGACTGATTCATGCAGTGAGCGGCCGACAGAACGAAGTACTCGTTTAAGATGGTGCCGCCGCAGAAGCCGATGTTGTCTTCTTTGATGAGAAGAGCCTGAGAGAACATGCAACATCAGCACGCTCAAACTGCCATGTTTCATGTCTCCAATCTAAAGCTTCATGCTAAAGAAGAGCTTAAAGAAGAGTCTCTACCTGCCATGGACAGTCTCCAGGAAGACACTCCACACCGTTCACGATTCTCTGGTCTCCCCCCGAGGACTCAGTCAGAATGGGTTGCTCCTCCACCAGATCCGTGATCTCCTGCTCGAAGAGGCCAAACATGCTGTTTGTGTCATTGACAGGAGGGTTCGTGGCGTCTACGACAGGCTCGGCGGTGGTCTCCTCTTCGTTCTCAGTGTTGTTGATGTGTTTGCTGTTTAAGAGGCTTCTGGTCTTCTGAGGATGGACGGCGCCACATTTGAAAGGATCTGAAACCGAAAAGTGTTTAAACTGAGGACGGATAAACATCTTGAAGTCAGAACATCATTTACCTTGAGACTGACACGACTTCCCGTTATTGCCCAGCTCGTAGCCTTTAGCACACGAACAGGCGACGTTATTATTCTCCACCTTGCAGAAATGATCGCAGCCTCCGTTTTCGCTCTCACAGAGCGCAGGAATAACTGCAGCGAGACACACAGGAGAGAAACTCAGCGCCGCTGATCGACTGACGGTCTGTTGTGTGGTTACCAGTGCTACAAGTAACGCGAGTTACGTAATCAGATTACTTTTTTTAAGTAACTAGTAAAGTAATGCATTACTTTTTAATTTAGAAGGAAATATCGGAGTTACTTTTTCAAATAAGTAACAGCAGTTACTTTGTTTCCATGTGTTGAGTGACAGCTCTGGTGTTGCCATGGTGACAGAAATCAGGAGTCAGTGCAGAGTGTTGTGTGTGAACATGATCTTACTGTAGTTCTAGACTCAATATCAACATGTGTTTACTCATCTCACTGCACACAAACACATGCAGTGCTCCTCACAATCAATACAAACAATCAAATGCAAACTCAGAATATGACATGAACCTGCAATAATTAGATATGTTAAATAAGACAAATATAATTTATGTATTTAATCCCATTTTTTAACCAGTATCTTTTGATGCTACTGACCTTCGATGATCCAAATCAACCATACTAAGCAAAAAAAGACACATTTGTGTTTTATTTTAGTTATTGCTGAATAGTGCTGAACTTTCTTCTCCTGCGTCATATTCTTCATGTAGTTAGTTTGAGCGGCGCCCTCTACTGTACAGACGAGAATTTACATTTCCTTCAGCCTGAGGCGCGTTCATTTCACTTTTGTTGTGAAAGGGCTTTTACGCTTGTAAAAGAAGGGCTTTTTTATATTAAAAACAATCAAGCAAGCCCTGCCAAAATTTGAAAAGTAGCGCAAAAGTAACATAACACATTACTTTCCATAAAACGTAATTAGTTACTTAACGCAATATTGTAATGCATTACTTTTAAAAGTAATTTTCCCCAACACTGGTGATTACTGAACAAAATGTGGCTCTTTACCGATCTCACAGTTGTAGCCCTTAAAGCCTTGTTGACAGAAACACATGTACGGTCCGATCACGTCTTTACACTCGCCGCCGTTGAGACACGGGTGGGAAAAACACGCGTCTCCATCTGAACACACAAGCGCTCGTATCAAGACTCACTTCACCATTAAAACCAAGCTGAACCGAAGGATCATTGCAGACTCACCAATATACTTGTGCCAGAACTCATCCTGAAAGAAAACGCAACACACAGCCATCAGATGAAATGAACACACTCAATTCTTTTGAACTGGATTTATATTGATGATTGTTTTCATTGGAATAGACCTTAAACCTCAGGCTTTCACATGTGGTTATTTTTGTTGCAAAAAAATCTAATTTTCATCAAATGGTTCAAACCTGAAAAATGTTTCATTGTATTTATATTGGCCACGTCAAGTTCTATAGTTCAACTCTGTTATGGAGAAATTCACATTGATAATAGCTGCTAGGTATTGACTGTAACATTTCAGCACAAAACATGTTTAGAAAAAGAATTAGTTATCATTGGTTATTAATATTTGTAAGGCACTTGGAAACTTTGTGTGAATTTACGTATTACTCAAATTATAAGCGGATGCGTTCTAAACAGTAAATACTGAGGGAATCGTCTCCATCACTAGCTATGTTTCCATCTAAAGTAATGACTTTAACTTGTGCACAAAATTAGAATACTGAATTTAGAATAAAACACCATTTCCATCCCACTGGGTAGACATATACAATTCCAGACAAGGGAGAACAGAACGGGCTAGAACTCAAATAGGGCAGATAATGAGGGGCAGACAGGTGAGGAGGATAACTAATGACAAGGAACACCTGGAACTAATAGAACTAAATGGGGACAGGAACAGGAAGGACCAAATAAGGTCAAGCAAGGCACATGGGGAGCAAAACACACACAGACACCAAACAGAGTCTGACATTACTCCCCCCTCCTGGAAGGCGCGTCCCGCGCCGTAACAATTCCACCAGGGAAGGTGGGCGCCCTGGAGGCTGGTGCAGAACTGGAACATGGGGAATACCTGCAGGGCGGATCAGGCAGTCCAGGATGCCATGGCGGAGCAGGCAGTTCGGGGCACCATGGCGGAGCAGGCAGACTAGGAAGCCATGGCGCATTAGACAGTTCAGGAGGCCTTGGCGGTGTAGGGAACTCAGGAGGCCATGGCTGGACGGCCTCTGTAGCCTTGGCCTCACCACTCGGCCCGGCCACTACGGACGGACCCATACTACCCCCCCC